TCTGTAGTATGTCCTTCATTAATCTGAAAGATGGAAGCTAAGAAAAGTGGCATTTGCTGCTGCTGTAACTAAATTTTAGATGCCTTCAACACCTGTATTTTGGCGTGGTTTTTGGGGGTGTTTGTTGTTTTGAAAAAGTGAGTGCCTGAAAAGATTGTACTGGTACATCTTAACTCACTCTTGACTGTGGTGCTGTTTTAATGTGTGTTTTGTTTAAGTGTGGGCCCTTATCTTGGCTAAGCAACAGAAGTGGTATGAAAGTCTGCCAGCCGTCTACAGAGTGACTTCATTATGCTCATAACCTGCAAGATAGCCAGTGTGTTGCTCAGGGTGAAGGATAATGTCAAAATAGACTTTGTCCAGTATTTTTACATGTAATTAAAAAGCAAAGATTAAAGTAATATTGAGTGAATTTTTGATTGGTCCTCTTATACTGAAGGACTTAAGAGAAATCTGGTATTTCTAAAGCAGATTTGAGATTTTTCTATTATGGGGTGATATAGATGACCTGTAGAGAATAACTAACTCCCTTTCCTCCCTACTCAGAGGAAAACTGACTTGGATTGAAATACTTGCAAAGGCTCAAGAAGTTGCAAACCAGTTTCTTTTTGAGCCACTTAATATCACTCTATTTCTTAAACTATCTTTCGTGTTGATGATTTATCACAGCTGGATGAAGGATGGAAAGTGTCTACAAAGTTTTATGGCTAAGAGCTAAAGTTAAGATACTCAGTTATCCCACATGAATATTTAAGATAAGCAGACTTCAGAGTAAAAATTTTATACCTACTATACTATGTATCATAGTTAGCTACCTACCTAATGGAATTCCTGCTTTTAAACAGGGCTGAAGTTGCCATCTTTTTTGTCTAAAATTGCAAGTGTTGCTGTAAAGTGTTCTGATTATCATTTTCCCTTCCAACTCAAATTATAAATATGCTATTTTCACTTCAAGAGCTACTGAATAGTGGGAAATTCTGGGGGAGATATCTTTGCTTGCCATAATCTTTCTGAAACATTGCTCCTGGCTACCTGTTGGAAAACAATTTACTGTATTAGGTTAATCTGAGCCAGTGAGATTTAAGTTTAGATCTAAACAATGGTCTGATTCTTGCAAGTATTGTTAGTGACCCTTTTTAGGCATATAATTCTTATGCAATACATAAAAAGCCTTAGCAGCTAGCATAAATAGTAAGAACTGATAAAAGCAGGTAATTTGAAAGGTACTCAGCATAGTTTCACCCCTAAAAACGTTAGAAGCATTTCTGAACCCGTGGTAAAAGTAACACCAGCTGGCCCTACTTGACTTGATATATTCTAAATCAATATGAATTTAAGTATGACTGGAGAAAGCATTGATGTTTGCTCCAAAGGCATGTGACATAGAAATATGAAACACTAACTTTTTTTTTGAAAAAACACTTATGAACTATTAAGTTACTGCTTTAAGGAACTAAATAGTTTTCATTAATACAGTGAAAACATCTGGCAGAAAGGGGTTAATTATAATTTTTGAAACACTTTATCTGAAAGTTGGAGGGAGCTTTGACTAACTGGTGAAGAACAAACTAAACCTAAAGAGCATTATGAACCCTGACAGTTAACCCAGTTGTTTTTTCTAAATCTATTCAGATGGAATGAGTTCACTTTGGTGTTTCTACGTTTATTAGGATTCGTTGCTTTCAGTTTGGAAAACATCTCCTTTATGTGAAATCAGTCAGGAGTTTTAACTGTCACCCAAGTATTTTAGTTGCAGTTGAATTGTGCAGAGCTCTGAATCCCCCTAATTGCTTTTAGAATAACCTGCAGTTTTCAGAATAAATTTCCTTTCATGGCTTTTAACACTCCCTGCCCCCAGTTATCTGGAGCTCCTTAAGCAGAGTAAGTAATGCATCCTGGAATCTGATTGTACTAGGCATTAGTTTTCTCACAGGACAGGCGTGGGTATGCTCCTCCTTCAGAACAACCCTTGCCTCTGGCATTCCCGATTTGCTGTTGAACCTGTCTGCTTCCCAACATTAACGTGCTAAGTGGATGCATCTGTCTGCTTGTAGAGCTCCATGTTTCAGACCCAGGGCAGGGCTTCCTCCCTGGAACCAGAGGTCAGTTGAGACTTCCAGATGCATATCTCAGAACTCTTCTGGTGAGCTCCTTATGTGAACACATAAGACAAAGGTCTCTGGGTGTTGAGGTGTGGAGCTGTTCATGGTAAGTGGCCACTGTCAGAGGCTGAGGTCAGTGGCTCACCTCTGCCTCCATGACATTTATTCCTTCCATCAGATGGAGTGCCATACCGTAGTAGCCAAAGCAGTTCATTCCTTATTTAATGATGAGGTTCAACAGGTGATAAGATCAATGCTACACACTGCAGGCTGCCCTACTTCTGCTGGACTAAGAGGAGGAAAGTGACTTTGAAGCAGCAACCTTGTGTAAGTAGTTTGGCACAGCTTTTGGAAACTGTACTCCTCTGTAATTTGTAAGTCTCAAAAGACTTGCAGCAAAGCAAGTTCTGCTGTTTAGCTTGCACATTGCAAGGCACAGGAGCCACTTCTGGGTCTGCCAACATTGCTTCTGCAAGGTCCTAGGAAAACAATGTGATAAATAGGTGTGTCTGAATCATGTGGATCTGCCTTTACACAGCAACCTGCAACTCCTTGCAACTATCTTTCCTCTAGCAAGTCTTCTATTTCACAATCAAACCTGAAGTGGGATACACTTAGCCACGACAAAGATGTGGAAAAAATTTCCTGTTGAGCCAAGAATGAAGACAGCATTTTTCTTTTCTCTTTTTGATAGTCCTCAGCACTGCCTCTGCCCCCTATCCATGCTGAAGTTAGCATCTGCTATACTCTGGGACAAGATCATTCTTGTGGTTTCAATATGTTGTTAGCCTCAGGAAAAGGGAGAGGAGAATGGCATGATGAACAATTTTGTGATCTTGTCACAACAGAAAGAAGATGACTAGAGGCAAAACCTCAAGGCATATCTGCTATGAGGGGTGGTAGCTGTATATGCAGAAAAAAATATTTGTCTCTATTGGGTGAAAAGGCTCATTCCTTAAAGCAGTTCCCATCTTCTGTGTACAAAGGATCATAGTTTATTTAGTGATATATACTACAGCCTAAGCAGAATTTCCTACAAGGAGCAGTGTGGGTGCAACACTCACGTGGGAGCAGGCACGCCTGCTCCTTGCTGCATGTGGAGCCCAGACAAGGTGAGCAGACAGGATATGGACACTAGACTCATCTGGCTCTTTCTGCCTTTCACCTTAACTTCAGATTTTCTGGTGCATTCAAACCTTCCTGCACCCCACTTTCTCTTCCATTATTACCTGTTATGAAGAATGATCATGAGACACCTCAAATAATAAACATGTTTTGTGCTGGCACTCTTGATAAGACTGTAGTGCTATTGCTACTTCCTGATAGCATTTCCTCCCTTATTTTGCCTTGCAAGTCCTACTTTGCTTTCTTGATCCATACATACACATGAGTATCATCATATAAGGAAAGGAAAATTCTTAAGTGGATATGCCAGGGCTTGAGGCTTCCTCTCCTGCCTAAGCTCATCATCCGCAGCTATCCTCAAGTATGGTAGCAGGAATCTTCTCTGTATATCCATAAAGGAAAAATCACTTACTCTTTTCATTGGTCCATTCAGCCACTCTCAGTGAATTGAGTGTATCATCTTTATTATTATTATTGAAGTATTATGTAGTATTATGAGCTGAGACTGAGTGAAAATACAGCTTGGGGAGAGAACTTATCACCATGTTCCAGGGGTGGTTACAAAGAAGATGAAGGGAGATTCCCTTTTCACATGAGTGACATGGAAAAGATGAGGGGTAAGGGATGATTCCAATTAGAAATGAGGAAAACTACTCCACTCATTGACTGTTCTCATTGTGAAAAATCTCCCCAGAGAAGTGGTGGATTTCCCAATGTCAGACACTTGTAAGTTGATTTACAATTTAAAGCAGGCACATCATCATCTGCTTTATATACAGGGACTTAATTTGTTAGTCTTATGAGTCAGAATTTGAGTCACTGAGGCTCTAGCTTCCCTAGGAAAGGGAGGGAATGTCATCCCATGTTGAGCAAAAATCTCAGTGGTAAGAACAAGCTGCCATGAGCACCAGTGTTTTTAAAATGCAAGTCTGTGGTGGTAAGTTACATGTGCTGACCTTCAACATGTACCTTCAGGTAAAAAGGTGCAGCAAGATTTCTTGTTAGCTGGCCATTCTGAGAAGAATTTAAGATGTACTATTCTCTATCAAGGTCAGTCTTCAAGTAAGAGCTGTTGTTCAGGGTATTTGTTTAAATGAATTCAAGTAGGAGATTAAATGATCTTTCTCAAGTGTTTAAGTAAGTAGTGGGGGGATGCTTACAGATTAGATGTTGCTTATAAAACCTATTTCATTGGGTTTTTTCCCTGAAGGCTTGTAGGTTTTGTAATCTGTCACTTTTCAGTGTTTTGTCTTAACCTGGATACTGCCTGATTTTGAAAATTTACCTGTTTAAGAAAAATAATTAAGAAGCAACTTGTTAAGTACATCTTAATTCAAATGTTTCCTAGGTTGAATCACAGTATCATAGCACTTCTCCAATTTCCAAACTTTACTCTCTCCTAGGTAACCCTCCCAGCTTGCCATCTGTGGGTAGTTTATTTTGGTAAGGTGGAAGGAAGCTGTTAGCAGCTCTGAGGACCTGTGCTGGCACAATCATGTGTCACTGTACTCGGAAAATGCATGATTAATGGTGTGATAACATCCAGTGCAGCACTTTCCCAGCCTACTTTCACAGCTCTGTCCTCTCAGTGCTTCTTTCAGTGTCCTTGGTCTGGAAAACACAGCAATTTTCTGTGATGGTTGAAAACAGCTATTTGAGCAGTGTAAACACTTGGAAGGGTTAGCCTGTGCCTCAGAGATTTCTGATTCAGGGCACCAAATAGATCAGAATAGTATTAGCATTTTAGCACTAAAAGAATTCATTTAGAAAATGTAAATGGTTATAAGAAGGAAGCATGTATTGTATCTTTTATTCTGGTTAAGGATGCTTTAGAGCAGTAGGTTGTGATGATTTTTTTTTCAGGTGCAGTATAAAACATTGAAAGATGGATTTAGTACAGCTTCTTTCCAACCTGCCTCTTGAAAACAGGCACAGGAACTGCAGAACTCTTCACCAGTGTAGAGTTAGTCTCTTGTGGGAATTGTCCAAATGTATCACCTGCACAGTGACTGATGCAGTTCTTCATACATTATTTGATCCTAACAGTGCCAAGAGAAGAGGAAAAATACCTCAGACAGTGGTAAATCACACAATATTTAGACATGACTTTGTGTATTATTTAATCAAGTGAAACAAACCAGCTCAATGAGTCACTAGCTGCATTTAAAAACATTTACAAACAAAAACCTAAATAAGACAAACCCCCACTACCCTGGCTCCTAAATGAGGTTCTCTAGAGAGAGTCAGCCATGGTGTGTAATTTTCAGAGGCCTCAGGCAGAGTACTTACAGTTCCTGTTGCCATGCTAGTTTAGATGGCAGCTTCACTGAGAAGGCTCTGCCCTCTTCACCACAGGAGCTGCTGAATTGACACTTTCCTCCCTCATCTAGTTCTGCACCATGAACAGACAAGATCATCCTTTGCTAATCTAAGTTAACTGTTCCTTAACCCTTTTCACTGGTCACTCAAAATGAGTTTTGAGGAACAGAATACTTCCACTGAAATAACTGGTTTCAGAAGGTGATGTCTGTCCACTGCCTTAAGAATTGTTTTTTGCTTATCTTCAGTCAACCAATTAAACCAGAGATGTGTATGGGATAGGATATGCACTAGATCACCAAGATGCAACTATTTTAGCCTTTTTAAAAAATTTTCCAGTATTCATAGCAAGGTCTGTAGAGTTTTTGTCAGACTGAATTTGTCTAGCAGATAGGAAGTAGCATCTGGGAAAGGCAGAGAAGTATCTTGTACTGCAAAAAATATTTCAAAATACCTAACTGAAAAGTCTTCAAATGAATATAACTGAAATATAGGACTCTCAGACATGATATTGAAGCTGCCTCTGAGATGCAGAATAACATTTTTGGTTAACCAGAAGGAATATGTTCTAATACTTAACAGTTATTGCTATGTTAGAGGAGATGTTTTAAATCTTTGTGGCTGTTTGCTTAGTGATTAGCAAAGGGAAAACAACAACCAGCATTATCTTTAAAGGTTCTTTGAGCCACAGATCACCTTTAAATTTTATGAAAGGTCACTGACCATCAAACTACAATAATAATGAAATACTTTACTAACTTCTTTCTGGCTAGTGTTACATGTGAATACGTTAATGTATTCTGGCTGCAGTATGTTCTTGGCAACACATGGAGACCTAGACACAAGCTCTGCAATAATAGCAATTCCTATATATTAACTTCAAAATTATAGTAATTAAGATGACTGAACAGCTTTCCTTTCAGTCATTAAAAGGAACAAGGCATAAGGAAACATTTACAACAAACTTCCTTGACAAATCCAAATAATGAAAAGAGTGAGAAGAAATAACTAAGATCATAAAGTGTGTTTTATGTCCCGTCTCAAATCTACATCTCTTGCACATCAACAGAAAAGGCTGAACATCTTTGTGAGTCATCATCATGGGGGAGGATGTGGTGCACTCTAAAGGCCTTGACTTCTAACTGAAAACTCAGCAGACCTAAGAGCTTAGGGCCAGGTTAATAATCAATCTGGGAATGTGAGTGAAGTCCAAGGCACCACACTAAAAAATAACCTTGGTATCTTGGTAAGCCATCTACACACTGTGCATCATCTGCAGCTGAAAAAGGAGGCTTTAATTTCTGACCTGAACACAAACATCAGGTTTGTTTAATGCAGAAAACAGGTAGTGTCAGTTTGAAATCCATCTAAGTATCTTGCAACCTTAACCATTCCCACCAGTCTCGAGCATCAGAAGAGTGTCCTTCCCTAGAGAGTAATGAGCCTTACAAGCTTGAATATTATCTTACCTGTTTGGACACTGAAGACTTCACTTTCCTAAAAGCTTCTTCAAAGTGTTTACGAGAAATCTTGATTTCTCCTTAAAGAACAAAGCATAATAAATTACTAAAATTGTAAACAAGCGACACTCAAGTGACTGTTGCATGTACATCAAGGCAGTATTCATGAAACCTAACTAACTGAATTCCCTTAGCCTTTCTGGAAGTGAATCCTTCAAATTCTGCTGCTTCTACTTCCGGGCTTTTTTTTTTTTTTTAACATAAATTCAATATTAAACTTCCCTGTTACTTAAGAAGCACCTAGAAAACATTTTGCTATAGTTCCAGTTCTACTCAGTTTCTAAATAATTGGCTTCATATCATTGCCTTCTCTGGCATTACCCAGAAGTGATGAAAGCTTTCACTGCTACAACTCCCTGTCTTTAAGTTTATGCAGATTGCCTTTTTGACCTTAATGCAGCTATCCACAGTAATTATTCCTAATAATAACCTTTTGAACAGGTTTTCTTAGTATGTTAAAACATAAGCATACCTCAGATAAGTCATGGATTCTGTTGCTGTCACAAGCAAGTACCTTGTTTAATCTGGCTGGATTTAAGATGCCACTACAGAAAGATTAATTACCAGCTAACACTATGCACAGATATCAGATATGAAAGAAATACAAACTGTAGTCCTGTTTGGTGCATTTTTAAAATCTCTTTCACTAGGATGATCATTGCTTTTATTTCCACCTCTGCCACGTGAAATGGGATGTGCCAATATGAAAGAACTCTTAACATTAATATATTTTGAGTCCGAGTTGAATAAAAAATCTTCTGCTGATATAGTAAAAGACTAAATAGAAAAAGGAAGATACTAAATTAAAAATTAAATATACTTTGTCTAAGGTATTAAGCAGAAGATCAAATAGCCTACAGTTATTACCTGTGTTAAAGATGAAGGTTAAATTTCACTGAACTAAACATACAACCTCACAGCTCTCATCTCATCTCTCTCCAGCTTCTCTGGAGCTCATGTTCAACATTCCTATTACCAGATAGAGTTTAAAATATCAGGAATTTAACCTATTTCCCCAAGGAAATACTATTTACAGTAAGGAAAAGGTTCAACTTGGAACCTTCCCAGAAGATAGGTTATTCTTAGACTGAGTCATTAAAACTCCATAAAACAATAAAATGAAGCTACTAGAATTTAATTTTTTTTTTCACTTTTGTTTTTAAGCATGTAATTTTTAATCAAACTGTGACAATGCTATAGGGAGGGAGAAAATCTCCTGCTAGGTAGCTGACCTCTCATTGCAAGCAAGTTAGACTACTTCACGCTTACTATGTGATAAAAGCTCACCCAAAGCTTGATCACATAGAAAATGTAGCTGTGAGTAATCTAGACCTTTGCTACTTGCATTAACACACTTTGCCTCAATTTCTGATGACAAAACCATTTAGTCTGAGTAAGTAGGTAGAAATATTTTATTGTTTAAAACCATTTATATTGTTAAATTAAAATAATGAAGTATATCAGCAGGTACAATCTTTTAAAAATAAGACAAAGTATTGAAAACTCTAAATATTAAATTGGTCTTTTCCTGTGTACATAGATGAGCGAGGGATAGGTGGTTTTCCTATCAAATAAGGACCAGATCTTGCTTTTCAGATTTAACTGCAAAGATGCAAAACTTTATTCTCACTTGTTAAACCACACTTGCTCTTAACTACTCTAAGAAAAAGTCTCATAGGTTCTCTGCTTAGGATCAGCCTTACAGACTGCAGGTGATGTGGGGCCACTGAATATCTTCTACAAAAATGTACAAAAAGGGTCATTGTTTAGAAGGTCACTGCAGCTGAAATAGGAGTAAGGATCTTTCCTATTATTTCTCATACCCTGTACATTCTGTGTAACTAGATCTGTTTGAATGAAATATACAAGATTAAGCTAAACAGGTGAGTTAAGATGTCAGTGGGAAGAAGTCACCAGGAGCACATGGTGTTCCAGAGTTTCTGAGGAACTTGACTGAGAAACTGCAGGGCAGCTGCAGTAGGGTGGGTCCCACTCTGGCACTGGTGCAGAAACCACTTTTATGCACCATCTTCAGTGGTTTGGAGAGGGGAGGCAGAAGTGAAACTCCCAAGTTTGCAAATGACAGTGAACCTTTCTGGGCAGTCAGCGCTGGCCCAATGATGAGGAAATCCAGGAACACGTCATAAAAGTGGAAATCTGCCCAATTGTTAGGAATTTCCCCTACAGACTCATGTCTCTGGCAATTCTCAGACCACAGTGACTAACATGATCAGCTTGCCTAGGCCTGTTCAGGTTGGCAGTAGAATTTCTGAATTCTCCTAAGAAATATCACAAAAAGGATACCTTTCCATTTCACTTTCTATAACTACCTTCAAGCAAACCACTGCTGAGTGTTAAAAAACACCACCCCTGAATTTATTCCAGAGGGAAGATATCTGGTATTAAAACAAGTTGCAACAGTTTCTCCAGAACAGAAAGGAGCAGCCCTGATTCCAAAGGACTGACTGAGGAGGACACTCAGCACCCATCCACAGCCCAGCAGAGCGTGGGAGGGGAGGCAGCTGAGCGTGTCCTGCTGAACACTGAAGGAAGAAAATCTCCAGTCTTATCTTGAAGATAAAAATGAACAGGGTCTCAAATCAGAAACCACTTCATATGTTTTCATACTGAAAAGGTATACCAGTACCAGTCAGGTATTTCATACCAATCAGGGCTGACATCTGGGAAACCCAAGGACAGCCCAAGCAAGCAGCTGCTATAAACATGCAAATCAAGCTGTACATTTATTATGGACTTGCTGGCTGCCTACACATTCATATAGTCAGTGCTTAGGTTGCAATCCTAACTGTGAAGGCTGAACTCAAGGGATGAAAAGCTTTGAATAAAGCCTGCTGTATTCTGAACAATTATAAAAATGGTAAGGATACACTCAGATATTTCTGCCTCAAAACAAGAATTTTATCCAGCTACAGCAAGCAAAATGGGTACAGTCATACAACAGGGAAGGTTTTTATAGCTCGGGGTTTTTTCATCCTCTAGTTGAATAGAACAGGGAATACAAACACTGTGCTCTGGTAACCTACTGTTCCTAAAAACCAGATAAGACTGGATAGGTACTAGATCAAAAAGAATCATTCAAAGCCATTAAAATACCAGTGTTGCTCTAAGAAATCAGGGGCATAATGAAAGCCTACAATATCTTCCAAGGACATAATCTGAAAAGTCACAATTCCATCTTAGCTTTGCATTTTGACTTAAGGGTAAAATAAACAAACTTACTGGGAAAAAATCTAAACAAACAGGCATTTTATATAAAAGTTTTAATCCATAATTTAAAGATCTCCAGGAAAATAAAACTTAAATCAGTAGTTCAGACAGATAATGAAAGAGCAGAGATTGCACTTGAATCAATTTATAACTCCCTGTTAAAATCCTGGCAAGAGGCACTGATGAGTTAAGCACCAAAGATCAAAAGTGGCACTGAGATTTTCCCACTCCATCAGTGCTGGATGTACGTGGCTCAGTTACACAACACAGCTAGGTGCCAAAGGTAGGAAATCAGGGAATGTGCAGTTTATAACCCTCCTCCAAATACGTCAGCGTAATTAGTCTTTGGTAGTGACAGAGAAAATTGGCAAAGGGGTATTTAGTCTAGAAAATAATCAGTTTACATAACCATTCAACAGAAACTTTTTTGTAAGGTTGCAACCTTCAATTCTTTAAAAATAAGAATTAGGCTGACTTCTAGCATAACCATTTTTCCTGTACCCTCCTCTACCTCCCTTTATGTGACTTAATTTTTGTTTGGGTCAGAAGTCAATCAGTGAATGATCTACAGCTTTCACAGCCTTATGCTTGTATTCAACTACTTTAAATACTTTATATTCCATTTATATTGTCACTGTTCAGTTAAGATTTTATTTTTAAAGCTTTCTTACCCTTCTTGCTTTGAGTATTCTTCAGGGCCATTTCCTGTCTCAGGGCACAAATGGAAGCCTCACGCACAAGAGCTGAAAGGTCTGCCCCTCTAGGGATACAAACAACAGGTTATTTGGGGATAAATTTCAGTTTTGCTGATGGCATATAAAAAGACAGGACATTAAAAATTACATTAAAATTTGGTTGTGCTGTCCCAAAGTTTCATCTTAAGAACACTAGAAAGAGGCCTGATGATTATGCAGTCTGCAGCCTTCATTAAAGAGTGATGGCCTTCAGATTTTAGCCACAAATTAAGATCAAATTAATGAGAAACAAGGAAAGAGGTAAAACCCCCATTCAGCATTTTTGAAAATGCCAAAGGATTGATTAATATTGTGCCACTTCTCAGGAACATAACTTCTTGTTTTTTATAAATCTTATGGAAGATTCAAATTAAATCCTTCACCATTACAAAAAGGAGTTGCTCAAAGCTGCATCAACAGTAAAGTTAACATGCTCTTAAAATAACAGTATCCACAAAACATGGTCACATCAGTTTAAGTATTTCTTTCCAGTTTCCTGGAACTGGAACAGCTGGAGCTTTTTACATGTCTTCCAGCTGGTGAAAGCCATTGAACCAAAAAAAATTTCAAAATTAACTGCCCATGCTTCATTTGGGAGTACTAGACATAAAGTATTTAAAAATCAAAAATGAAACCAAACCAGATAAAAGAAAACACCCAAACAAACCAAAACCAAAGACATCAAAACTACAAGAACCCAAACACACATGCGTGTGTGTACACACACACACACACAAAACCCCCAAACTCAAAATACAGATAAACCCAAGCATCAAAAGACCCACAACCAAACAACAAAACCACAAACCAAAAAACAACAAAAATCTCACAACAAAACATCAAACCAAAACCCCCACACACTGAACAAAAAGCCCACTGGACTATAAACCAGTGAGTGAAAGGTACAGAAAGAAAAATTACTCATCTTTCCCAAGTAATATTATGGCAAGCAGCCTGTCATAAACTTTATCGTCAGTGAACTCCATAAAAACTTTGAGCATTACTAAATTATTGAATAGCTTAAAGCTTTTTAAGTTTTATGGCCCATAATTGCAAATTATTCTGACAGGTATGGTCATCAAGATTTCCCTAAAGCCACACCTTGCTATTCCCAAAGTACAAGCTGAAATGGGCCCTCATTACTTTGTCAAACAGATTTTTCTCAACTCTGTGACAGAAAAGTTGGCTATGACCGTTTAACCAATTTGCTTTCATCACCATTGTGTATGGGCCCACAACTTAAACCACTTAACTCTGTGGTTCTCAGATGATGCAAGAATTATAAAATAAAACCAAAGAAAACCGAAAGGCCTCCACTGTTCTGCATTTAAAACGTGAAGACTATTCCAGATGAAGAAGACTTTAGCATCCATATATTCCTACCTACTTCTTGGAAAAAAGCCCAAGGGAAAGCAAGAAAAATACCCTAAGGGAAAAGGTTTACAAAGTTAAGAAACCCTCTTAATAATACCAGCAAAACACAGCAGATCATGCATCAAAGACTGCTGGCACTGCACATTAAGTATGAAAGTCAAAACTAGAAGATACTCACGTGTAACAATCACAGTGCTGACTGTAAGCAATTTCCTCTAGGCTCACATCACTATCTAGGGGAGGCCGGGTGCCACCCTAAAGGAGTTGAGGTAAGAAAAAAGAGAAGGTAAGAAAACTTTATTTTTACATCTATCATCCCTGAAGTGATTAAGTTTCTTTAATCAGGAATCACATAGGGGTCTGACAAGTTTTCTGCAATATCCACAAACACAAATATTTTTAACCTCTAACTGGCAAAAAGGATAATCAGCCTTAAAACCATTTAATTAGAAAATTTTAAGCAATGATAAATTTTAACTTGCCACCCACAGATTAGATATTCTTTAAGGAAATTATGACAGCTTGCCCCAAGGCATTGTAACGCCAACACTATTCCACATGTGGGCTTATTTTAATAATAGCTGGTTGCTTCAACAGGTTGTTTAGCTGAACTTTTTCTAGTTTTACTGTGTGTTGAAATCAGACAGCTAAGAAATAGGCATGTCAGTTTAGTCTTACCACTTTTAAGACTAAATTAATTGTATATATGTATATATATATATATGTATATATATGTTTTGTATTCTGGATATAGATTTTCAAACTTAGAAGTTTTCCATTTAGATTTTATAGGAGTTTAGATATACTGTAGATTTTTGGACACTTCCATATTATTACTGCTTCCTCCAGAAAGATCCCAGAAGTGGTTTATTTTGTTATTATTTTTGCATCTCCAACAGCAAAAGTCTGACATGACATAAATGCTATTTGAAACTCGCCAACAAATTTCTAAACACTGTAGGCTTGTTATCCTTAGACAACAGCAAAGTATTATCATGATAGTACAGAGATTCAAGATGTCTCTTTGATCAAACAATATCTAAGTTTTGACAGGAAAGAACACTTTTATGATGCAATGATAAATTTCTGCCAGATACTCATTTGACAGAAATGCAAAAATTCACATAATTATTTTCTGACTCCTTCAGAGGAACTAATATACTACATACCTACAATACCTTCAAGAGAAAAAAATAAAATGTATAGTAACTGTCAAGTTAAAACACTTGAATACTTAACAGTGGACCAGTCAAGGGCTAGGCACAGTAAGGAAACAATCTTGAATGAATCTTTAACAGTTAGAAAGAGAAAAGATCCAGAATAACACCACAAGAAAAAGATAAAGGAGAAGCCAGATTTTAAAACATCTGAAAGGAGATACTTTAACCTGGAAAGAAGGAAGCTTTATACAATTTCATATGGGATACTTTGGTAATTCTTATAGGAAATTGCAAGCCAGAGAGACACCTCCTCTGCTAAAAAGAAACGTTTTACCTATTGCTTTGTGGAGCAAATACATTGGGCATTTTTTGCTCTCCCTGCTCTGGTGCCAAGCTCTGTGCAGCAGAGGAGCTTGATGCAGCTTGCAGGAATGTTTAAGTACAGCAGTAACTGAAACATGTGAAGACAGGCTTCTCTTGCATAATATGCATAGTTGGGAATGACTGATTTGTACAAGTTAACTGAAATGGAAGTCTTTTACAAGAAAGTTTCAACCCACATTTAGGCTGTCTTCCTGACAACCTGTTCCTCCCCCCAGTCCCTTTTCTGTCCCTCATGCTGCCTTTCTAAGCAACCATGTTTTCATTCAGCAACGACTCTGCTTCCACTTGGAGATTTCTGGGAATGCATGCCATCATCCAGAAGCCACTCACATCTGCACATTGCAAACAATTTGTTTTCTCTGGCCTTGAGCAAATGCGTTCTCAGATTTTTCACACTACCTCACCTAGAATGCATGGATGAAATCTGATGAAAAATAAAGTATTTCAATTAATTTAACACATTTTCCCCTCTTCCTACTCCATGTTCTTCTTTCACATAACTCCTACACATCTTTAAAGATTTAACTCCTCATTCACCACAAGGATCTGTAATCAAAATAGTCAGACTAGTGTGAATTAAGCATGAATGAAAGCATCTTGCATTCCAAAAAGCATGACAAGCAACATGATAACCAGTGACAGGATCCACAAAAACTAAGCTGATAAACACTGTGCAAAGTATTCCAGCTGGCAAGAAGGCCCATAAGAAGGTAAAGCTGATTTGTCAGCAGAAGATAAGAATATTTTGGCAGTGGGATAATAACAGGGTTACCACATCCCATTGCCACTCCTCTTGGTGTTATCCCAACAGGAAGATAGGACTGTAGGCACAAGGATTCCCAGGAGAAGGGAGCAAGGACACTTTTCAGCGACCTCACCCAAGATTTATGGCAGTAAATGCAATTCTGAACTTGACTCCTGATGGAAAACTGCAAACAGTTCTCCCTAACAACCAGCTGGTCATTGACAGACAAGAGGAAGCCAAAACATGAAGTGAGGGCTCAGTACAGTTCCTTGTCCTCAGTGTTGCCCATGAGTGATCCTGCCCTTGCCACGTGGCTTCATATATCTTGGTGGCTACACGTGGCTGTGAGTGTGTGAGCAATGGAAACCTGTGAGAGAGAAATCAGCTCTCTTTAATGTCCCCTCTGCTCCAGTGAAGGGAGCAAAGCACCTAGCTCTGCTGCACTGTTCCCCTACATCCCTAATTACCTTTAAAAGTAAATTTGGTAAAATAATAATTATGATTCCTTACAGTATTCACAGATGTTACACTCAATTCCTCTCAACGTCTCATGAAGACCATTAACAACAGGGCTGTAAAAAGTATTAACTGAAGTATTTCTGTGAAACTTAGGAACAACAAACTGGTCTATTGCAAATAGCTAATGGGTGAATACTTAATCTATTTTCATCCATGAAGCACAAGGCACAGAACAAATGAAGTAAAGTCTAACATCCTGAATTTGTAAGGAGAGGTCACTCTCTGAACATCTATTTTGGCATGAAAGAACAGGCTGGAACAAGTTCTTACTTTCTGAATTCTGAATCAACTACTGCCTGTACAACACAGCTTCAAGGTTACACAGATCTGAATTATCTTTTATTGCAAATTCACTAAATAATTTTTGCCAAACTTATAATGCTATCTTTTCTCTATAGTAAAGACTTTGTCTCCTTTGTAGCTCCAAAAAATATCTGATAGAACACCTGGTCTTAGCAATCAATGTTTTATTGGAAAAAAGTAGGAAATATCCAAATAAATCATAAATCTTTTAATGTTGTTTTTAAAGGCCTTGATTCCTGCTGTGCCATACTAGGAGAAACACATAGAATTCTATAATCCAAGTCTCTGAAGTGGCAGATTGTGCTGTCCACCACGGAGGACCCATGAAGGCACAAATCTGTATTTTACATTTTCACATTTACTTTAATCTACAACCTCAATCATCACAAGTTGTTTTTTTGGTTTTTTTTTAATTCCAAAGCCAATTAGGTGTCACAACTACTGATGAGCAAATACAGATGAAGCTTGTGAATCATTCTGCTGAATGTCTGGAACCCCCCAAAAAAAGCTTACAAAACACTTCTAGGCACATTACTCACTCAGATAGGAATCTTCTAATTAAATCTGTTCAAACTGTGACTATAAAGGCAGCAACTTCTGTGTTTAACAGGTTTGCTTTACTCAAGATTCATCAGCTCCTTGCAGTCCCAGAGCAAATTTAATAGCATACAAGCTGAGGGATTATTTTTGTGATCTCAGGAATAGCCGTTTCATCAGACAGGATCCTGCAATTCTTTGTAATATTTAATTTGTCTTACATCATTCAACCAGGCTTCAAGATTAAGAATGTATTTCCAATACTCACTTTGGTGATGGTCTTTAAAATAGCAAGACGATCTTCAGGTGGTGGCAAACCCACATAGAGTGTTTTATCCAGCCTACCAGGACGCAGGATTGCTGGGTCAATTATATCTTAGGGAGGAGAAAAATAGAAAAGAATTAATCCAGATATGAGATGCACCCTTAGGAACATGTGCACATGAGAAGGAATACATGCATACTTTTACCAAGACTCAAAGAAGCATTTGTGCCATGACTGAAGCTCTGAGCATTAAAGGAGCTGATTGAAAAAGTTTCATTTTTGTCAACAAGTCTCTAACACCCAGTACAATGCAGCCATATCTGATCAATGATGGCCCATAAATACCAGTTTCATCTCTTCAGATAAGAAGACAACTCTCTATTTGGCAATACAGAATTAGAACATTTTTGCTGAGGAATTCCACATTAATTATTAGCAGTTTGTTCTACTGGAAGGAACTCTAGCCAAAGGGACAATGATAAGGATAACAAGCACACAGGGCCATTCACAACCATCCATATGCAAACTTAAATTTTATTGGTTATTTGCATTTCTACTACATAATGGTTATCTGAATGATAAAACAAGAAACCCAGGATAATACCAAAGATACCTGAAAAAGTACAGAATTTTTTTCCCAGGGAGAACTACAGACTCCAAATTTATTATGTGTGGAGAAGCAAGAAAGCAAAAATTATCACAAATGTTTCTAGAAAACCATTTCAAGCTTAAGTGTAACAGAAATGTGTAGCTGCCTTTTAGCACCACAGGCTTCAATACTGAATGTACACAAAGTCAGGATGTAAATACTGATTATTGGTATAACAAGAGACACAGACAGGGTGTATACCCTGGACAAAGCCTCAATTCCTGCCTATATTTCAGCACAAACTGCCTGCATGATGTTTCTCAATGCTTCTTGATGCCCTATTTCCCCATCTACCAAAACCCAATGATGGTATTAATTGCTCTGTTCCACTAAGGAATTCTATGGAGTCACCATCCCTGGAGATAAAAAAAGACCTGTACATGGTTGGGGACATGGTTTAGTGGTGGACTTGGCAGTGCTGGCTTAACGGGTGGACTCCATGGTCTTTGAGGTCTTTCCCAACCTAAATGATTCTATGACTCTCTGATATTCTACATGCCACAGTAATGTGAGCAGCAAAGTCACAGAAGAACTCACAGAAGATATAAAGAAATCTATAATTTTACTGTAACCAACAATTTAAAGTATAAAAATAATATGAATGTGTGAGGTAGGGACTGCAAGAACCTCTCCCAAACGTGACAGTTGATAGTTCCACCTAAGTCTAAAGCTGGAAATTATCAAGGCCTCCCAGTGAAGCTGCAGCACCCCACACTGGCTCTGCCCTCCTGACAAAACAAGCTAACAGACAAACTATTGCATTCCTGTACATTAAAGGACTGGAAAACGTGAAGCGGCTAATCTTTACTATACAGATGTTTTAAAGAAAACAGACACCACCCAAGCCCTAAAACAGCAGCAGGGAAGTAAAACTACAGCTTTTTTGCAAATGAAAAAGGTTTGCTTAACTCTGTCAAGCCTTGAACTACCTGATCCTACCACAGTATGGTCTTGATCCACTTTTTAAAGATGCTTATTTATGGTTTTGTTCAAGTTGCTCTCTCAGTTATGCTTAAAGGACAACTCCATTATCTTTTTCTTGGACAAAAGCATTTTTTTCCCCTAGGATACAGCAGTCATGAGCAGAAGCATCTATGGAAGAAAAATCAGCTACTGCAAATGTGATGAGAATGGTGAGGGAAAAAAAATAAAAAAATTACTTGTATTAATTTAATCCAGACCAGATGAAACAAGGGTTAAACAGAATCCCTGTCATAGCAGACACAGACAAGAACATGTTATTTATAAATCTCTGCATCGTTCCAAATGACACTTTGTCTTGCTTTTGACACAAGTGCACTTTCCTGTTTCTTGTCACATTATTAATAGAAGATGACAAAGTTCTCTCAAAGGATCTGTTATAAACACCAAAACAAATACTCTCAATAGGGCCTGCATTACAACACCAGGCACTTGCTGATTGCCCCATTCTAATGTTCCAAAAATAAAGTATGAAATAATATTTTAAAATATTAAGATTGCTATGGAAAATACTCTTTTGCACACTGAGAACATGGTACTTGCTATTTGTCCAACAATATGAATACAACAAATGTGGTCTGAAGTTGCATTCATCTTTTTATATGAAAATGATCACACTGCCTGCATTCAAAAGTTTACCACGACTGACAGAACTAGATAAGTTGCAGTAATGGTGGTTTACAGCAACAAGACCACACCAAAGTCTGAAACACAGATTTACACTCCCCACCTCCTTATGAATCAACTAATTTCATTCTTCTGGTTCAGACCTGGGCCTGAAGTTCTTGAAAACTCAATTCACATAATCCAGAAAATTAGTACTTATTCATTGGACAAACTCACTTGTAAGATGGACTTCATATCCATTTAAAATAACTGAGTGAGGTTCCCCTTTACAGAATTTCAAAGCATTCTACCCTGGTAAATCATAACACTCTCTCCATATCTATTATCTTAAAACATTTACCATTTTAATGAAATTAAGGTAGTTACTGCAGATACCTCTTTCAAAGCCTACTATTACCCCTCAAGTTGGAAGGAAAGTGAAGCATGGAAATGTGATAAAACACAGCACTCCTTTTCCAAGCAGTTGTCTCACAGACAGAATATACTTCTACTGGGAGAAATGTCCAGTTAATAATTTCCTGCCTTTCTGAGGTGGTCAATGGTGTTGACTGTCATTAGAAGCCAGTAGTACAATTTTACAAATAATTTGGCAAAATGACATGAGAAGATATTTACAGTACATCCATTCCTTGCTTTGTTTTTAAGGGTTCAAAGAGGCAGTATCCTCTAGAGAATTAGGTCACATTTCAGTTTGCTACACTGCTCTTAAAACTACTGCAAATTCTTACAGAATCATTATGTTCCATTGAAAGTGTCTGTGCATATATTTCTATACGGTGACATTCTATTGTTCTGTCTGTAATAGAATCTCTCAGTCCCACATTAATTTCCAGTTGATTATTTGTGTCTTATCTCAACTGTACAGGAGCCAAGCACATTTACAGAAGTATGCACATGGTCAGTGCATACCAGCAATGACAGCTGTTGTGTGAGTCCATCAAACTTCTCCCACGCTCTCACTCCAGCTTTTAAAAATATATTTGAAGTACACAAGATCTAGGCCCTCCCATTTGTGATGTTCTGAAACACAGGCTCAGAAGCCCTAAAAGGTTTTCTGAAACTCCAGGTGAACACTGCACTTATCAGCTGAAGTGACTGTGAAAGATACAAAACACTCAAGGGCTGCTGAAATGAAGAAATATAATTTGTGTGAATGAGAACTATTATGAAAGAAATTGTTCCATGCCTCACGTAATAAGTGTTTTTCTTAGATCTTATCTTGCCTTTAATTCAGCAACATGTATAAACAGGTGAAAACAAACAATGCCCAAACCCAAACTGTAACTATTGTTAAAGACTGGTGATTATTTTTTTAATTGTGTTTCAAAACATGTGGTTCAGGTGAATAGCTCTTAAAAAATGATAACAAACTTGCTAACAAAAATAGAACTCACTGAAACTAGGATTGTGCTCAAAGGTAAAAGCAGAAGAGGAATTTTGCAAGATTAATTTAAGAAAGCTAGAGAAAGAGGCCATGAATAAAAGCAAGACATCATCACAATTTATGTAGCAGTATCCCATCCTGAAATTCAAGCTGGTAGCTAGAAAATTGTGGGAAATTAAAGGTTTCATTCAACAGTAGTGTTTGGCAGTTGTGCAGTATTTACTCTTGAATTTGGGAAAGTAAATAGGCTGGAAAAGAATGTAAGTATTCTGACCCATAAAGGTACTAACAAGATATGACATTTCTCCCTCTATTCTTTTCCTCCTCTCTCTCTAATGATATTGATTGCTTTAAAAGTTTAATCCTCTTCAGACAAAGTCTGACACTGATTCTGCATTTAGGTGGAAAGAGATTGAGTTGGGAATACTGCATCCCTGCTAATTTAGAAGGAGTCAAGAAATATGTGCAGAGGACATTCAAAGTCATTGAGTAAGTGCAAAAAGCATCCAAAAATCCTGCTTTTTAGGACACATCAAGGGCTTTTTCAGCACTGTCAGAATAAAAATTACCACTTGCATACTGTAGATAATAAACAAAGGAACCAATCTATTGTGCCTACCCTTTTGCCAAAATGGGAATTAAAGCCTTCCAAGTGTTTAAAGGCTATATAAAAGAGAATTTGGCAGTCTTTGTGGGGTATAAACCACCACCATTTCACAGTAATACCCTGTCCCATCTGCCAGCTCCTCACTGGAACTACTGTGCCAGGAACGTACCTTGATGCCAAATGTGGCTGAGCCACTGCTATCCTAACTGCAACTACTCCTAAATAACAACAATAATAATAACAATAACAATAATAGTAACAACAACAGTAATAATAACTTATGAGAGAGGACTCTTCCTATTGCACAATGATTTCAGGCTACAATGCTGACAACAAACATGAACACGGCAACAGTCATGAACAGTACCAGCAATCAACTATCAAAGCCACCACAAATGCAATCACTCTAAAAAAAGAAACATCTTGAAAAGCCATTTTCTCTCCCAATAAATTATACTAATATGGATTAAAACCCATGAGATCTCACATTTCACAGCACTGGCTCAGTGGAAGACTGCAGAAGTTCTGCTGGGACACATATTATTTAGATTTACATTATACAACTCCCCTCCCCAGAAGCACGTCTACTAACCACAGCTATGAAAGAAAGAAAAATCTTTCTTACAAGATTTAAAAACCTTTTCAGGCACCACAACTTTAATTGTCTGTGGGAACTACTTCAATATAGTAGCCAGTCTAAGCTATGCCTGTCCTACAGGTCTCTGCTTGGGCTTTGCATTCTTAAGGTGGTTAAGAGTGCTTTACTAGCACAGACCTCACTGCTCTCTACCTGCAGTGTGCTCCTTTCAACTACCCAGACCACACCATCAAAACTTCATTTGGTGAACACTGCCTCTCCTCCTAGGCCCCATGAACAGTGAATAAACTACAGGAGAGAAAAACCACTTTCCCCAACTTAACCACTACTTCAGTAGAAATTGTTCTGATGGAACTCTATTTCCTCATACTGACAAATGCAGGTATCACAGGAAAAATTGATGGTCTAAACCCATCCAAAATGTTATTCATATACATAGTCCTTCTGAAGCAAGACATCCATCCTATCCAAACTGCATCTTCCAGCTTAAAAAAATCATTTTATTAATGTTGGCAAAAGAACTCCCTGTATATTTTTCAAGCTAAAATCACCAAATTGAAGGATATAAATTCACCTACAAATTCAATAAATAGAAATTAATTGTATTTGTTATCCCTGCCTTTGCATTTTCTTTACATTTGGCATCTTTACCTCAAATCCCCTTTTTTCACCAGTGTCACTGACTAATAATACACTGCTGATTTCATGCATTACGCATTTCCCAGCTGCCCTCAAATATGAGCTCAAACCTCATTATTTGGTAAAGTTTTGTAATTTTAACTATTCCTATATGGTCAAACAGTACATCTGCCACTGCAGCTGAAAATGGCAATAGTGACTTTTTAAAACTGAATGGGAAAAAAAAAAAATCCCCAAGCCATTTCAGAGGTACTTTCTAACCACAAAAGGGTAAAAATGCACCTAGTAGAACGCTTATAGTGAAGGAAATTAACAACTGAACAGGTGTCTATTTCACATATGCATGAAAATCAGACCTGCAAGCAAGCACTGAATCAGTGTAAATCTAAATCATGGAATTGGGACAAACCTGCTACACATAAATATTTATATTTAGAAATTAACATCTGAGCAATATTTACCCTAACCTGGCCCTGGTGAAGCTGCTGGAGTGCTTGCACTCAGCTGCCTCCACGAGAGGAATCCTTAGCTCAGAACAGTGACACAGAGCAGCCCAAAAAAGGATCGGCCCCATGCCCAACCGGCTGAGGAGACACTGCAGGAAGTACAGCTGGATGTGTCCTCACTTCTAAAGTGCTGGAATTCCCAGCCCAAGCTACCAGGCAGAGATAACAATAAGTCAGTAATTAGATAAGAAGCCCTTGAGAAACACTTCCAAATAGGGCTGCTTGACACAAATGCTTGCAACACTGCAACTAATTTAGGGAGAGATCTCTTTCCTACGGCAACTTGATGACACTGCCACCAACACTCTTGGTACATCCACTGCATCTATACATAGCACAGCCTTTATTTTCTATTCTGCACTGCATTAGATAGCTCAGGACCAGCAAGCTCATGCCAGGAAAACCTGTCACTTTAAGTCAAAGAATTTGTAAAAGCAGGTAGAGATTTAAGCCCTACTGCTCATACTTTATCATGTAGAAGGTTTGAAAGTCTGTCATGGTGCAAAGAATTCGAGACATAGATCTTCCTCCAAATCTTTGAAGGTTTTGACCACTGGGAAAAAAAAAAACACCTCATGCCTATTATAGATGATTTCAGACCAAATATTTCTCAATTTATAAAACACAAACAATATCAAGTATTTTAACTTTCTCATCTTCCAAATTATATCCAAAATAGCCATGCTACTATTTTTCCTGTTAAGCCACTTCTCAGCAAAACTTGGTATCTTGTCCTTACTCAATACATGCGGGTAAGAAATAATTGTGCCTCACTGTAAGCAGGAATTTGCCAAATACCTGTTCTAGGTGCAAAGGTTCTTTCCAGAATTCCAGTACCCAAACCTGTATGGTTTTACCAAGACAGACATGTAACCCTGTATTTCATTTCAGTTGCAATGTTCAGAAAAATGCTCATAACCGAGGAAGTGCAACACCTTCACACTTGTTTCTTTCTAAACAGACAACAAATTCCTTTATTTACAACCCACAGCTTCTACGTGGAATTCAAATTCAGGAAAGACAAGTTTCTTGCTATGTAACGCAAGACTTCTCCCTAATACAAAACAAACCAAAAAACAGAGATGGAAAGCTGTCTTTCTATCTCTGATGATGTTTGTAAAGCAGACATCAGTGTGTAGCTTATTAACTGAGAAGATGCTGCTGGAATTGCAAGAGCTACCAAAAACTGTAAGAGTCAGCAAGGGAGCATAGACAGCTGTCAATATCCAAGCTGGACAGAACATCAAGGAACAGGAGAGTAACTGTTCCAAGCAGAGTCTAGCATGGAACATAGAGCCCAGGAAGCAAAAGATAAGCAAATGGAAAAATGACTTAACATGAGACAGATGTCTTAAGACAAAAAAAAAAAGATAGCAGAAAACTATAAGGCTGCTTTGGATAGAAAATCAATTTAAGCAGCAAAAAAGGAAAAAAAAATTATTTTAGGTCTCTTTTCTGCTTCTATATTGCAAGGAGATAATCCACAGCAGTCAAAGGTCTTTCAAAGCATTTAAACAGCAGTGGTACCAGGTGCTAAGTAAGAAACATTTTCAAAGGGATTGCTTTATCTCACAATACCACATGAACATGGAACAGATTAACTGATCGGAAAAGCTTTGGATTTGAGCAGACACTGCAATTTTAAGCACAGAACAGGCTTAGTTACAGAATTCAAATATTTAGGAACACATGTATTTGCTAAAAGAGAACCAAGGACGTCTGATTTCTTGTTTCTGAATTCTGGGTCCTTACCTGGCCTGTTTGTGGCAGCCATAATGAAAACTTGCTGCCGATTCTCCAGCCCATCCATCTCTGTGAGGAGCTGGTTCACTACCCGCACACTGGCTCCTGACTTTGGAAGGAGAAATTTGTCAACAAAATCAAAGAAACAGTGGGAATGTGAGTATTTCAAGGTAAAAGAAACAAAAGATCTACTAACTCCCTGCACTGAAATATTACTCAAAGGAAAAGTTTCTTTTTCACACTTTCAATGTAGCTGCGTTGTGGATTCCTTCTCTCATATTCTTAGTATGTCTCCATCCCAAATTCATGTTTCCTACATATTTTAACCATATTTTAACACATGGCAAACCTTTCCCATCAAAACTGAAGGACTCAGTTAAAGTAGTACATATAAATACTTGTACTACTCATTCTGATATCTACCTCAACAAAAAACCACAAAATTTCTCAATATTCAGTTTTTTGAGGGGAAAGAGTCCTTAAATATTGAAATCTCTGAAACAACATTTTAAGCACGTGAGCTACTGAGAGGTAAATGGCAATTCCATAGTACTGACATCCTATAACCAAACCCAATAGCTTAACCTGAATTTCTTTGGATATTTTGTCTATATATTCATACAAAAAAAGTATTAAGCTTTATACAACTTGACCAACATATATTCCCTCAAATAAAAGCCTAGTGGACTGCTTTTCTTGGGAGATACCCTTCTGGGTACTTCTGTTGTCTGCAATGTCCCAAAAGCTGTGACTGAAAGTATTTATTTGTGGAGATATCTCAAGGTAGACTCACTTCACGGTCAGACCTCCGAGGACACAAAGCATCAACTTCATCAAAGAATATAACACAAGGGGCTGAATTCCTGGCACGCTGGAACACCTGGCGTACAGCACGTTCACTTTCACCAACATACTAGATAAATAAGAGAAACAACATTTAAACTGCATAAGACATTAAGATTTTGCTTGGAAAAAAATCAGTAGTTTTAAACACTATTTAAAGTACTTTGCAAGGGAGAAATGCAACCCTATCATCTGTTTTTTTCTGACAACTGTCTCTTATCTGTTTCCTTATTGATCATGATTTACATGGAAACTCGTCAGTAGCTGACTTTTGACAATTTGCAGTACATTCAGAGTTTGAAGTAATTCCTTTTTTCTGGGGAATAACTCTAACTTGCCACCATTTTGGTGATGAGAATTAACAAATACAGTCTTAATTAAGGACCCTGATGTTCAGCTGTTCCTAAACAAACCCAGTGAGCAATGTGAACACAATGAACATCTGAAATTCATAGAGTTGCTGCCGGAAGACAGAGCTTGGTGGTAGGGAACTGAAAAGTCAGCCAGAATTTCACTTTGAATGCTGAATTGCAGGAACAGGGGCTGTGAAGTTGTAAATGAAAACACTTAATTTCTTCCAAACAAACACGTTTTGATATAATTTGTATGTTAAGACAGTCTCTGAACCACAGCCAACCATTTTCTCCGTATTCCACAGGGAAGTTTGGCCCCTCATTAACTTAAGTGTTGTATTTCCTGCCTGTATCAGTACTTGAAGTAGACATATAAAAGTGTCTGGGAAGAGATCAATCAAATCCAGTATGTGGGTTTCAGCTTCCACATTACTGATAACGGCCTCCCCAGGTGGGAGCTGCAGCCACCTTACTCAGTTCAGCACATTCTCTTGACTCTGAAAGGGACTGAAGTTACATCACAGCACTCCTAAGTCCAGTGCTTCAAAAATTTGAACTACAGCACTTTTATCTGTTGACATTTAAAACCTCCATGCTACAGAAAAAGCAGTGATGTATGCAGCTGGTCATTCAGAAACTCTACTTCAAGTCAAGAAGGCTTTACCTGCCAGGTAATTTAAACTAATGTAAGTATTTAAACTACACAGGTGACTTTTTTCTTTTCACATGAACAACTTCACTGCTAAAAACTTTAAGGAGTGGTTAAATAAAGCAACTTCAGCTGCACCAGTACCAGTTGTGTAATTACCAGGAATTTTGCTTGCCCCACATTTTGGACAAGAATTCCATAAATAACAAAAGCCCCATGATCAGCACATACCATATTTAGCAGCTCAGGACCTTTCACAGATATGAAGTTCAGTCCAGACTCGTTTGCCACCGCCTGTGAAAAAGGTAAAACCAGATAGATGATATAGATATAGATATAGATATAGATATAGATATAGAACACACATTTATCATGTCTGCTTGGGTTCTGTCCAAGGACTGATAAACAAATATCAGGGAAGGAACACAGTTAGCAACCGTTTGCAAAATATAGAAAACACTACAAAGTATAATTATATACAATTAAGAGTGGGAGGGGAGCAGGGAATTTAGCAATGTATTCTCTCTCTCTGATGAGGCAGTTCCAGATTCACAACCCATCCCCCCACACCAGCTGAAGAATGTCCATTAACTATGGGAGTTAAAGAGATACTCAACTCTGTAGGAGCATCTGAAGACAAAATGAGAAACAATCTGAAATTTGCACAATTATCTGCATTTATGTGGAGATGCCTTAAGAACTGAAATGCTCAAGAAGCAAAACAGAAGTATTTTCAGTAAGAATTGCAGAGTACTCCCAAACATATAATTTAGTTACAGTAAAATATCCCATGGAGTGGTTATCCAATAGTTTCTTCTCATCTTTGCTACTTTTTCCTTAACCAACTTAATTCCTTCAAGATTTGCAGGAATTCCCTCTCCATTCATGCAAAGTTGTAGCTTTATGCAAGAAAAATCAAATAACTTCAGCACAAAGGCCTAAATTTAATTTTCTGATGAGATGTGGTGCAAAAGTCCAGCTTCTTACTCTATGATCCAGACTCATCCTACAAAAACATCAATTTCAAGAAGATTCTCCAGTGTCTTTAATGATGTTTAGAAAATACATTACCTTAGCTAATAGTGTTTTGCCACACCCTGGAGGACCTGCAAGCAGGACACCAGCTGGAGTAGTCAGGCCCAGAGCTTTAAACTGCTCTGGGTTTCGCACAGGTGCCTAAAAAGAAATTATCATTGTTATCTCTGGCATAAAGAAAACATGAAACTTTTCATTTTAGTTACAGAAAATTATTCAAAGCAAGTTCTTTTTTCCAATTTTTTTATAGACTAAAAGAATAGAGATTCAATCAGCACCTTAATATCTTGCACTGCTAATTACCCCTAAATGGGAGAAATATCCTTATTAAAAGGAAAAGATTTTATTCACCAAAGTTACCTAAAAGTGCTAAGGTTAAGTTTCCCTCTGATTAGCAGCAAGATTGCTAAGCTTCCAGCTAAGTAGTTCTCAATTCTTTGTGTGGCAGTTGCATAACCAAGGTTATTGGTACACAACTTTTAGAATACTTAAAGATTGAGCAATACACATTGAAAGCATGAATACAAAAAGCAAAATATTAAATACAAACACCAGACTTGAAACAAATTCTGAAGTGAAGTATATAAACTTGACTGTTTTAAATAAAGATATTGAAAAATACCCCTATATCTTAAATAAATATTGAAAACAAACATTTTTATTTCCTCCTTGGGGGGAGTGCAAAAGCTCTTTGGAGGTAAGGTTAGGACATACCAATATTGCCATAGTCAGCTCCTCCCGAACATCCTCCAGGGCTCCAATGTCTGCCCATGTCACATCAGGGATTGTGACAAAGCCTTCTCTCTTGGCAGAGGGCTGCACTGACGACAGTGCAACAATGAAATCATTCATCTCAATGCACAGCTTCTGCAGCTGCTCCTCGGGCAAGGGGGCTTGCTCCTTCAGCAAATCCAAAAGTCTCTGCAATTCATCCTTAAGGTACATGGAAAGTGAGAGAAGAAGATTATGCAACTGGGTTAGACAATCAGAGCCGTTTAAAGGGCTTTTTCAAAGCCATAATTCAACTATCAATCACATTATTATGTACAATACACATAAAATATGTAAATTACTATTAATGATAAAAATGTTTTGGGGAAGCTCTGTGTACATTTAACAGTCTGAAAGCACTGAGCTGAGCCTAAAATCTTGACTTAGATGATACAGAAAATGAGCTAGCACATGTATTTTGCCTTCTAGTTCTTCCTACTGCTTCTCCCACATTGACTAGGAGAAAGCTATTTCCATGCTGAAATTTCCAAAATATGTATTTATATGTATTAATTCTGCTTTTAACAAGAAACTGCTTTCAAGAGAAAGTGAAAAACTGCTGGACAGCACAATTCCAACAATTTGCAGAATATTCAGTTTTGTATAAACTGAATATAAAACTCTTAACACACTTCTAGAACATCCACTTTTATTTAACATCATCTGATTTCAAGACAACTCATTTCCTCAACCTGGTTAGACCTTATTCTGCAATCAGGCCCTGATAAAAGTTTGGGCAAACAGGACAGAGAAGCAGGGTGATACTTTTCTGCACTGGCTCATGTTGCAGACCACAGTGACCAACGGAGGTATATTCCACTTTCTCCAGTCACTTCCATACTGGGAACTGAGAAAATACTCCATCAAAGAACTTTAGATCTTCACAACATAAATACATCCCCATTCTAATATAGAAAGGCAGCATCAAAGCAAACTGATACTGCACTACAAGTAAAACTGACTTCCATTATAAGACAGAGAGAGAAAAAATAAATGTAAAAACCCTTTTTAAGTTTCAACATTTTTTCTACAAGAGTATAAAGAAAAAGTACCACTTCCTATCAATTGCAGCTAGGACAGCTCTACAACTGACCACAAAGAAATACAAGTGCTTAGAATGCCTGATATTCCTTTTAAGTCCTCCCTCCTCTTTAAAGAGCCATTGAGAGAAACTCTGAAATAGCCAAGACCACTGGGTTTGTTTACTTGAATTGTGTGAATTATTTTTAAAGGTTTTGTATGTTTATTTTTCCATTATAAATATAATACAAGGGTTTTAATGACAATACCCTGTATTAGACTATGTCAACCTCCTGCCAGCTATCAAAACATGGCTTTGTTAGGATTAGACTTCCTCATTCTCAGTGACCCCTTTGATCATAGTGATGTTGATAAAAGCTGGAACTAGCTTCCACTCCCCACCTTCTTTTGGCTACAGCAGGCCCCAGGAAGCACTGGGAGGTATGAGCACCATGCTTATGTTATACTAATACAAAGGCTTACTACAGCTTTCTACACTGATTTTTGTCATCACAGCAACAGTGCTCTTTGACAGCCCTCCTAAAAACAAAACCTGAGCACAATATGCATTTAAGCCCACTTATCTCCAGACAAATCTTTAAGAGGCCCACACATAATGAAGGCATAAGACTCCAAAATTTGAGAAGTAGGACCAAAGATTTCTATATAAAGTTGCTCTACTTCACTAACCTTCACGTTACTTAGGCCAGTAAATAATTATGGGACTTGAAATACTATTCTCTGCAACAGAGTTCCAGTTGTGCTGCACATTAACAGCTCCTCTCTTCCTCAAACCTGCTACAGGTACTAGACACCACGTGTGACTTACCTCAAGTAAACACGTAGCTGGAAGGCAAACAAAGGCTGCATAAATACTTTTAGACTTTGGCTTACTGTAACTCTACCAGGTCATGGAAGAGCCCCAGGCCCTCACAGACATTTCACTGAGGGCACAGCAAACAGCTGGTACAAAATATTCAGTGCAAGTCTGATACTTTTAAAATTCTGTTACAAGCAATACACTTTTGAAGAGAGATACAGCCAACTTTGAAACTCCGCTCTGCTAGAAGACAAAACAACACAGCACAAAAACCCCAAAAATCCTAGAGAAAAAAAACACACCTTGTATAAAACACGAACATAACTTTTAGGAGGACTGGGGTTTGGGATTCCATTGAATGGAACCCATCATTGAATGGTTTGACCCATTCCTAATGGGTCATTAGGAAATGCCTTAGAAGCTGCGATTTCTAAATCTAAATATAATATTAGGTTGGCTGTAGATGTTTGAGAATTTATGACTAATGACTTTCATAACTCTAAAATGGCTCAGTTCTTCAGATGTTAAAAACACATGCTTCAAGGAACACATACCTTAGGTGGAAGCTCTGGTTGGTTGGTGCCCTCTTCCACCAGGACATCTGTCCCTATTCCCGGGCTTCCTTCAGCTGTGTTCCCTGCAGAGTGTGTGTGCTCCCTGCCGTGCTCCTCAGATGTTATCAGGACCCTGTTGACTGTGCCCATGGCTGCCTCACGGCACAGGGCCATCAGATCAGCCCCCACATAGCCCGGAGTCAGCCGTGCTAAATGACGGAATTCAAACGACTCTGGGAGCTTCAGTTTTCGACACAAAGTCTGAAGAATTCTAATCAAGAAAGGGGGAAAAAAAACTTAAATATAAAGCTGAACAAAAAGCTGTTACCTTTTTTTTTTCCATATGAAAACAAACAGTATTTAATATCTCTTTCAGTCCACATGAACTGAAGGAGCACAGTAGGAAGTTTTTGCTCAAGTAGGAAGTAACCAACACTGAAACCCACAGAACTGTGCTATAAACTTCCTGTCACTTCTTAAACAAAAACCAACACCGTCGACCAGGCATTAGCGGTGGTTTTGGTGACCAAAGTATTACAGGTCACCTTTCAACCCTAATTTATATTCAAAACTGATAGGCTAGGTCTCAGAGTACCACAGAGATGCAGACGAGTTATTCACTGATACATTTAACCTTGTATTCCTAATAACCTAAGCCTGCACTGTCTGTTCCATGCTGCTTCTTAAAAATTTATTTATTGAAGAACATCCACAACAAGCTATTCTGCAAGAAGCAAATGAAATCAGACTGTGTGAAGGTTTAATCTTCAGTATTTTTCCCTGAGCACTGAAAGCAGAATAAATGAATACAACAGCAAAATAGCACTTCATTGGCAAAATATTTTTAAAAGGCAGCAGAAACCAAAGTAGTCCAGATCAGTAATAAAATACTTCTAGTTCCAATAAAATCTACTTCAAATTATTTCTAGATGAAATAATGTAACTACAGAAAAGTTATGAAAAAACTAAGTGATCAAACTCTTCAAAACTCTAAAATTATAATATATTTAATCTGTTTTCCTCCCCACCAGCAAGTTCCACCATCTCTCCTTTCAATCTTTATTAGGGATAATAGCCTGTTTCTCAAGATTTTTTCAACCTGTCTGACAAGACCTGTAGTTAATCAATTGAGTCAAAGTGTAAACAGTTCAGAACTACAAATGGCCCATTCTGAATTTGCCCAAGAAAACACCAGGTAAAGCAAGATCTCCAGGTGCCCTTTCTCATCTCACTCCACCCCTTAAGGCTGCAGAACCACAACTACACAGTTCAAACCTTGCCCTCTGCAAGACTCACCCACTAAATCAGCACACTGTGAGGACTTATAAGGCCTATGCAACCCCTTCATTTTATAATAAAGGAACAAACCAACACCACCATGCCTTCCACAAAACAAAACAGAAAGCAGCAGGAGGGAAGAATTTTAAAAAGAAAACCATCAGTCCCTGAAGCCCACACCTCCAGGAACACGAATACAAGCAAACAATGATATGAATGCCTGTGATTCCACTGGAACCTGTGATGGCTCTGACTTTCACAGCTCCCGTCCTTTGGCACCGTGCTATTTCTGGGAATATCATCATTTTAACATGTTTCTAGGAACTATCAGACAATCACAACTCTCCTCAGGTGACCCGTTAGTTCTACTTCTAATGATCTGCATGTCTTGCTCACAGCCAAGAGGAACATAATTATTACAGGACAGTAAATCTGGAGGAAGAAGGGAGGGAGGAGCTAAAAAATAAATGGAGGTATGGCCAAAAGAGGGGAAAAATCCTAGGGTGGAATAATGGCCTGAGTGCTGACAACACAAAGGGGGCAATACTGCAAGCAGAAGTGCTTGCCTCTCCAACTTAAAAGTATGATTATTTGAGAATAAGAAGAAATTTATCCTTTAACCTTTCTTTCCTTTCCATAACAAGATAAGCTGTAAGTTTTTCAAGCTTCCTTTCCCATGTTTTTTGCTGTTGAGGAAATGAGTAGCAGTTCCTTTTTAATTAAAAATGCAAAAATAGATTTATTTCTTTTAACTTAGTCTGATAGTCACAGATCTTTGAAGTAAAAAGGGACAGTTACACAACACAGGATGACTGCAGCTCAGCTTAATGCCTGGACTGGTATATTTCCATGAGGAAAGGAATGGAAGAATCTAGGCTTGCTGCTTAAGGTACAACTGGGCTTTACTTAATTTATGTTCCTAATTTAACAGTTACATAGGGAGCACCAAAGACAGAATGTTAACTTCCTGATACATAAAAGATACATTTGACTCCATCATCTGTACTGTTAAGGCACTTGGAAAGCCATTAACATAATGTTAAAAGCAGTTCTACACACAAGAAGGGAAGTTACTCCAAATGTAGGCACAGCAAACAAGACAAATAGGTGCTCACTTAACGCCTTCTGCAACTTTTCAGTGTGTGCTGACCCACAGGTGTGTTCAGGTACAAACAGAACTAAACACAATGAAGTACTTTTCCTTCATTTGTATGTTAACTTACACATTATTTTCTTTATCAACATATCAAAATGGAAGTTTTACTTTACAAGACATACTTCTCTCTTGCCCCTTCATCTGGGATCCCTAAACAAATTTCTCTGTCAAATCTCCCAGCTCTCCTCAGTGCAGGGTCCAGGGAGTCAGGTCTGTTTGTTGCTCCAATAACAAGGACCTGGGTAGTGGCAGCCACATTATTCAAGTCTAAGGGAAAGAAGGAAGGAAGGAAGTCAGTACTCATATTCACTGTCAAACTTGGTTCCCATATCTGTGGGACTCTGTTTCTGCAGCACATGATAGCAGTCAGCAGAGATAAACTAATCAACAGTCAGACTGAACTGCTGCTCATCTCTGTCTCTACTACCTAAAACTTCCATTTTGCAATGTAATCAAGCAAAAATTTAAAAATGAACAGATACATTAATTATTAATTAATTTAACAGGTTCCCCCATTATTTCTGTTTATACAATAGACAGGCTTATATAATCTGACAAACCACTGTCAAAATATTGTAGTAACACCCCTTCACATTTATTATGATGTTCCCACCACTCCCCAGGCAAACTTTATCAAAATAAGAAAAATTCTTGCCACTACCTCCTCTAAAGTAAGCAGAAATCACTACTGAAGGGAAGCAGACAGTGAGGCTGATAATTATAATCTGGTTTTAGCACAGCTGTTCCTGAAACTCACCATCCATACAAGTCAGGAACTGAGCTACAATCCTCCGCTCCATGTCCTTCGATGCAACTTCTCTCTTTGGGGTGATCGCATCGATCTCGTCAATGAAAAGGACACATGGAGCACTGGACTAAAGAACAAGAAAGATTCGTAATTACAAAATCACACTGGCAGGGTGTATTACAAGAAAGAAATGTTTCAGGTCTTTGATCTGTAACTCTCACTGTAAATCTGCTGTACAGTCAAGTCCTGGAACAATTCTGCTGTTCTTGCAGACAATCTGGAGAGCCATCAGACTATGAAACTTCACTGATCTGAAGCTATGGAGTAATTAAGGCATGAGATCTAAAATGTCTCTACACACTCTCTAAAATCTAAATATACCTCTGTGTAGCCTTACATTTTCCCTAAATATTCCATTGTGACTGCCTGCTGAAGTTCATGAACGAAAAGCACACAAGAAAGGTCTGGTTTGGTTTGTTGTTTGTTCTGTTAGTGACATTAGAGCTGTGGAATTTCAAGAGTAGCATTACTGACACACAGAATGAAACAAAAGGAGCAGTAGGTGGTCATGGAAATTCAAGACTACTAGAGAGCTGGACCATGTTCAAAGAGTAAAAACAAGCAGTGAGAAACTCCCACAAGTGTTCTAAAATCCCATGAACTTCATCAAAGGCCGACAATAACACGGATTAATAATTCGTGTAACTAATATAACGGTGCTTAGCTGATGTAAGATCATTAATATTCCCGAAAAGCACAAGTAGTGCAAAGGAATACTCGAGGAAAACAGTGGAATCTTGTTCCAAAAATGTCCCAAGTATGAAACCCGCACTGGGTATTCCCAGGCACCGGCTGCGCCATCTCGTGGCCATTCCCTTTCCCGCTGTGACAGAGGGGGAAAGGCCCCAAAAACTCCACAGCACACAAATAACGAGGAATCGTCTTTTCCCCTGCACAAAAACTGCTGCGAAAACTAAGTGGGAAAACCACTTAAGGGAGCGTAAGAGACTATCAGAAAGGCAAGAGATCTTATTTTAGACATAATTTATGCAATAGATGTTATTTCTGTAACAGTAATTTGGAGCAACCTCCCCTTGATCACTACACATACAAAACATATGTAATTCCTAATAACTCCTTGCTTGCCATAACCTATACAATTTTATTCTAAACAACTTCTTAACAAGGCTCTCCAAAAATTAAAGTTTATATGAACAGGAAACATAACAAACAGCTTCACAATCAACCTTTTTGCCCTGTTTAGGGGCATACTTTAAATACCTACATACAGTTTCAGGGGAGAGTAAAAAAATGAAATAAAGTCAGAACATTCTCAGAGGTCAGGAACAGAAAACTGACCTCATGAAATAACAAATCAGGTCCATACGAAGAACCAGAAACATCTGTATTTCTCTAAATTAAAGTTATCTCAACCTGTCTCGTTCTCTTTGCTTTCAGAAGTCACACCAAAGAAAGACTTCAATTTCCACTTTTCTCCTGCTCTTATCATGTTTGTTCCAAATTTCCTGCTTTTCACCAAAAGGACTGCCAAAGCCTAAAATCTCTCACATTCACTCAAATTCCATGCCATACAAAATTAGCAAAAACCTCTTGTAACAAAAAAGCACAATGAACTGCTCTTCATTTTTTTCTTTTATATATCAAGCCAAGCAGATCCAAATATGTAAATAATTTATGTTGCTCTTTTTACAATGCTATGATGAACCATCTTTTGTCAAGGCTTCAGAACAGTAAGCTTTGTGCTCTGTGACATCATGACAGTACAATGGAATTCTGGTCACAGAAGGGGAGACAAGCCATGTGTGTAGCAGGATAAAGATTCACTCACTCACATTTACTCAAATTCAAACCACAACAACAAAGTATGAATCTTTACAAAGAAAAAGACAAATAATTCACAGAGCTATTTCCAGTGGGTGTCTTACCACAGCTTGCTCAAACAGTTCCCTCAGTTTCTGCTCAGATTCCCCTGACACTCCAGACACAATCTCTGTTGCTGCCACCTTCAACATAGGGAGCTCAAGCTCCTGGAAGAAACAAGGAACATTTTTTATTATATGCAGAGGTTAGAAATGCTGGCTGCCTTGAGGACAAATATTTTTCAATACCACACCTTTTAAGCCTACAAATTACATATTCATATAAATCTTTAGGAATTTTTTTAGAAGATAAGGAGCATCCTCCAACTTAAAACGTGCAACAAAGCATTGCTTAGCAGTCTGGAAGGTGTTCCCCACTGGGTTTGGTTCCCAGAGTCTGCTCCAGAAATATCTGTGCAGCATTGTACAGTAAGACACTTGTAAAGCTCACACTCAAAGTTTTCTGCTATTAAGAATAAATAAATAGAACTGCAGCTTTAATAGACTGTAGCACACAGTAGGGCTACAGGTTGGTGCAGCCTATTTCAAGTTCTTGGAATTACATACAAAAGAAAACTATCCCTAAATTAACATATAAAAGAGAATGAACCCTAATCTATGCAACTCAAGGACACCAGAGACCCTTTGGTGCTCAAAGAAGATAATTTGCCTAAAAGAGCACTACTGAAAATCTCTTATTTAAGAAAAAAGACTATTTAAGAAGCAGTTATTAAATATATTTAATCTCAAAGATTTTCACTTGTCACATGCTTCTTTCCTCAAATGTAGTACCCTTCCAGCATACAAATACTTACTGAAGCATTAAATATCAAATTATTCAAAGGGCTTCACTCTACAATAAGGCATTAGAAAGAAACCATCTAAATCTTCCTAATTAAAACATCTGAAACAATGTCAGAAGGGTGTAACCAACATTTCAGGAATAAATATCAGTATTTTCCTTATCTGCACTACAGAAGTCACTAATTTACACACATCTAAATCTAAGGTTATAATCAGTATCATTTAAGGAGCAACTATATTAAAGAAAAAGAAATGTCCATCGTTATCTGGCTCTCCACTGAGAGCCCTTAAAAGTCCTTAGATTTATATCCAAAACAGGAACAGTGGCAGAGCTTCACCATCACTACAGACTATTAACACCAGTAGTGTCATGTGCTCTGAAAACATCAATATGACACAGGCAAGGCAAGATCCAGTCCTGGAATTCAGAAATCAGCTGTTCAACAGGTGCCACCCAACAGAATTAATGTCATGCCTCATAAAAGGTAGTAAAGTTGAGTCTAGACTTGAAACAGTATGGTAATTTAGCCAAAATTATCTTTCACTTATACCCTTCTCAAAACACCTGTGACTATATTGCTCTGTTCTGAGAATGCTTCCAAGCAGTTAAATCACACATAAAACCTTGTCACTATGACTCTATGTATGAGGTTCTATCAAGTAAAGATTCAGATGGAATTCAAACAAAGGAAGTAAAGATTAACTTATTTCAGACTATCATAGGATGGCTAAAATGAAAAGGTCTAGTCTGTTCTGAAATAAGATTATTCTCTTTCTCTCTAAAAGCAGCTCAGAAAAGGAAGAAGCTGTAAATGTGAAGCCATCTCACCCCAGCAATTGCCTGTGCCAGCAGTGTCTTCCCACATCCTGGTGGCCCATGTAAAAGAAAGCCCCGAGGTGGAACAACTCCCAAGTGGGTGTAGACCTCAGGATGACGGATGTGAAGGAGCATCTTGCAGATTTCCTATTAAGAACACGAGAAATCTCCATTTAAATTGCAGAAATAAGTATTTGCTATTCTTATAGACAGGGCAAAGTAAAACAAGTTCTGTGTAAGAATCTGAATTCAATGACAGCTTACAGAAAGATTAATCAGAGAAAAACCAACAACCTTGCTGTTGGTATAAGCAGCTTTGCTCAATGCCATGAAGATGAGCTCTGCAATATTTCTTCTCTGTCATTTTTCATGACACATTTTATTCAGTGCATCCTATAGCCCACCAATAAAATTTTAACTAACCTTTAATGTTTCATCATTGCCTCCAACATCCTCAAACTTCACTGAAGGGTGGTAAAGCTCTGACCCCTTATTTCTCACTGTTAAGGAGGAAAAGACACAAATTTAGCCATGGTATAAATGTACTTGCTAATACTAAACAAAACGCACTCAGCCTAAACAAATAGATAAACACACAGAGTAATATTATTTTTTAGTAGCAGACACAGGACTGCAATATTTTTCTAGTACAACATAAGGGCTGAATTTCTTTCAAAAACTACCTGGGGTCACTTCTCTGCACATCAGAAAATACTCATCTGATAACAGATTCCACGGTTTAAAGACATCTCTATGTTTGGAGTAACACACCAAAAATAACCTCTCACCTTTCTTAAGTAACATGGATTCAATTTCTCCATCTACATCTTGAAATTCTCCTTTTTTTCTTTTTGCTCTCCTGCCCTTTGTCTTCTTTCTTTCACTCTCCAAGACAGAAAATTCTGTTGATTTCTAGGACATAAAACCAGAATTATATACACAAAACCTTCCAAGTCAGTGAACTTCTGCAAAAACTTAACAAAATGTGTGTCTATGATGCTTAACTTACACAAGTTATATAAATAAAGACAAGTAAGGCAGGTACTTACACCTTCTTTTTTGCAAAAACTCTTTTTTGTACTTAGGATTTGCATTGTTTTTAAATGGGTTAATTACAATAGTCACTTTTTTTTGTTAAGCAAAAAACCCCAGACCAAAACCAAGCAAACCCCTTCAAAACTAATAACCAAAATCAGACACCACTTATTTGCATGCCATGGAGGAATCTACTTTGAGGATGAATACAACTATATGAATGTATTTACTCCACTGGAAATAATTTTTATTTCTATTAAGTCACAAGGGGGTGTAAGAAAACGTTATTCAGTGCTAACACAAGTACATGTGAGAGAAGGACTATTACAGGATAAAAGAAATTTAAAAAAAAGTTTCCTGTTTTCCCCAGGGTCACTAAGACTTTACATTGGCTAAGGAAGACCACATGCTGTGGCTGCAGCAAGCCACAGACCGGGTAAGCTGGTCACTGGCAAATGCAGTAAACAACAGCTATGTTCCACTCATCTTTCTCTCAGTATGGGCACTAATCTCAGCCTCCTTCATACTGAGAACTACATTTTCCTCAAAAAAAACTGGAAGAAACTCATTATTTGGTGACTTTCTACCTTCTGTACAAAATATGTTTGAAATGCAATTCTGTGCATGCACCTACTTAGAACACCTTGGGTTTGTGAAACACAAAGTACCTCAGAAATCAGTTTTGTTTCCTCTCCTTCTCCATCCTCAGAAAGGTCAATGAAGAAGTCTTTCCCATCAGGAGTTTTATCAATGAACCAGCCACCATCAGAGATTTGTCTTTCACCTCTGGATTCTGGTGCAAAGGTGCTTGTTTGAGGTGCTGTTCTCACACGAGGAGACGTCTCCACTGGGTCATTTTTTGGAGTGGATGGAACAGAATCAGGATTTCCTTTCTTGTATAAGCTCAGCAGGGAACTGTTCATCTGATTTGCAGACTGCAGATTTACACATATGTAAAGAAAACACGTGGGACAGGTTTTAACTTGGTTTATATTCAGAGGTCAATGAAAACTATTTCATAAGCATAATTCAGCATTATCGCTGCTGGATAAAATAGGCAATGCATCTTCCAAGCCACTCCTCTGCCAACCAAATGACTGCATATAAACCTACATGTGCTGGCTGAAGAGGCAGCAGCCTTTGTAAGTTACTCTGTAATGACTCCTGTTAATGGGACAGCACCTCTTTTGGCAGGAGTTGGAGATGTCAGTTCCTTCAATCACTTCATCCATTTGATAGGCAAGTCCTTCAGGCTCTCAGTGTGCCTTCCCAAAAGTGATTCCCCACAAGTTCTTCTTTTTCCTTCAGAAAACTGCCTCTTTCCAGCTGCACAGATTGTCAGTTGGAATTGCTAACTCTGACTAGACCTTATCTCTACCTCCCCTTTTAAACTCTTCAAGCACAATTTCACAACATAGAATCATATATTACACAAACAATCGTAATAAAATAAAACTTACTAAATCTTCTGGATAATCATCATAGTCAGAGTCATCTGTGCCACTTCCAGTAGTCCTTAACAGGGAAGGAAAGACAAAAAACTATTAATTTATCAGAGCAGAACTGCAAGTGAGACATCTGTAAAACAAAAGCAATTTCTACAATGTGGTTCCCCATAATCACAGTAGGTAGCCTAGTGCTGGAGAGAAATTCCTGACTCCCATGCTCTCAGTCTTCTACTATGAAAAGTTAAAAAATGCATCCTTTCCAAGTGTGTGATGAGTTGGATCAACTTGCCAACCTGTCTGAAAGACCTATATAAAAGTGATGTAGGTTCATTGTGATTCAGTTCACCAAGGAAAATAGGAGCAAATCACTGCTGATCCAGACCGAGCCTTCTGACAAGTGTCCTACTTTCCCATGAGATCCTTAATATCTATCCCAGGTTACAGAAAACAGAACACTCCATGAGATTATGGACAGGGTTAGGAGTCAGAAAATTTCATTCCAACCTCACACCCACTGGTGATTTACTCTGAATAGCCTGTCTGGTAGTCTCATCTCTCACGTGTGGCCAGTACCTCTCACATCCAAGAATGATTAAGAACAAAACAAAGGAACTGAAACACATGAGAAACAGGGCATTATGTGGAAAACTATCAAGGAAGCCATAAGGTTGTCCACTAATTCACGGCTATATGCTCCCAAAAACAGAGAAATCACGATTGGCTCTAATATCTGCTTGTCTTCTGCGCCAAAAAAGTTTCCAATAACTGCAGGTAACTTCTGAAGAAGACAAGCCTATGGGAAATCAAGGATCCACCTGCAACCTTGAAACAACCAAAATGTAATACACCAAACACAGAAAGCTTTAAAGAAATGTTAACAGCAATGGCATCATTAATCCAGTGGTAAAAATTCTTACTCATTTTTCTCTTGTTGTCTTGCTCTTTTTGACACATGTTCTGATTCTAAAACTGCCAAATCTTTGCGTTCTTCTTCATTACTGATTATTTCAAACACTGCAAGAAAAAGTTCAACTATGTTAAGAATTAACAGCCAAAGCATAGTCAAAGAATTTGGCATCTCAGACACAATATTAACAGATCTACCTTTTGCAACTTGTATTCTAAAGGCATTTCTTTTTCTTCGTCCATAATCTACACTGAAAAAAAAACCCAAAATAAACATGTTACACCAACTGATTTCTCCCTCAACATAGTATCACTCCCAGTGGAAAAAGTACATAGGAAGTTGATTCCCAAGCTTCCACACAGGCTCCTATTAAAAACTACCTGGGCAAAAAACATGATCATCCTGCTGAGGAACCGAGCAAGGTATTAGTCTGACTGGATCCTCTGCTCCCCCCCCATGTCTGCACTGAGGTGCTTATTTCCCTCATATTTTAAACTCACTGGGGTAAACCCCAACACGCTGCAATGAATCTGCAGCTTTTTATTTAAAACAAAAAAGCATCAACCCACAAAAACCCCAAACCACAACTAGATCTTGTAATACCAATGAATTAATAAAATATGAGTCATTAAATATATCAGCAAAGGGAAACACTCTTTCAATCAACCTCAAGATCTGGTAATGAAGGCAACATAAAGAAAATTATAACTTCCATACTTAATGCAAAAGAACAAACTAATATATTCTACATTTTTGAACATAGGATATAAGAAGACAAATCTTGGCTCACCTGTAGGTTTTCTGCAAATCAGATGCTAGAATTCCAATGTCAACATACTGCCCACATTTACTACTTGCAAGATACTGAAATGAAGAATTTTAAGCAGGGAATAAAATCTTTGTCAATCACTTCACCAGAACAGCTTGACCAAATATGCCTGTTTTAAATTTTGCCCTCCTTAAAATTTGAAATGAATATCAGAATCAGCTTATCACTGTCTTGCAACACACTAGACACTATTTCCCAATGAAATGGGAAATGCTTATTAAAGCACAGATTACAAGGAGCTCTGCTTCCTGAGGACAGGCAGCATCCTACATTTGGGGGCTTTGATGACTTCTGCTGAACCAACTCTGTTACTTTTATTTAGCAAGAAAGCTGACTTTGTAGTCCACACACCATCTTATTGTCTTGCCTCCTCTCAGTAATCATCCTGCTGGTTTAGATCTCCTGCCCTCAAAATGAAACTATCTATATGAATCAGGATGGATACTCATAAGAACAACTTTAATCTTTAGAAGACATTTCAGAGAACAATGTTAATAAAGTGAATTCTATCAAGCCTTTTTATTGCTCTGATAGCAGCTAATCCAACCCATTTTCAAATGTGAGAAAATGTACTAAAATTCATGTACAACTGTACTCCACTTGCTTTCTTCCCCCACTCTCCAAACCAGCAGCAAGAACTTTTGATACCATAAAGATGGATTCCTTCTCAAAAAAAGAGGAAGAAAATAGAGAATCATCCTAAAAGATCTGGTATCATAAATGCCACAGCAAGGAGGATTTCAAACCCTCATTTACATTAATAACTGCATACAAAACAATTAAATTGAATACATATTTAGCTTTTAAAATTATGTTACACTTCATATCACCCATAGGCATGCCCTGCATGAAACATCAAGGCTAGCATAAACCCAGCTGGGTTTTCCACTTTGGAAAAGTCAAGCCACATTCAATGTGACCTTCTGAATGAAACCAAGCAATTTCCCTTGAGCAGTCACTGTCTCATTTTAAGGAATTGTAAGTGGAGTACACTTATACAGAGGCTCAGAAACCTGGTGTTCAAGGTGCAAAGCCATTATGAACTACCGTAAGATGTGACACAGCACTGTGCCACTTGAAGGAATCACAGTTTTCCCTGTTGTTCCTACATGTATTTGGGAAGTAATCCCCTTTTTCCCTTTTCTCAGCTAGTCAATAAAATCACTGTACGCACTTCCAAACACAAACAGCATTTGCCAATATCACAGAACTGCAGGATCTTTTAGGTTGGAAAAAAGCACTGAGATCATCAAGTCCAACCTAGGACTGATCACAACCAAGTCCAGTTGTGTCACCATGTTCACTGAGTACCACATCCAGTCTTTCCTTAAACACCTCCAGGGATGGTGACTCCACCACCTCCTTGGACAGCTCCTTCCAATGTTTAGTCACCCTTTCTGTGAAGAAGGTCCTACTAAGGTCCAAATACATACATGTACACACGCATTTATACACATATATTTACACACACATACCTGTGTATATATATATATCTGCATATATATATATACACAGAGATACACACCATCTGTATGTATATACATACACGTATATACCTATATATATATGAATACTTCGAGTACATGTCTTTTGCCCTATTCATTTTACATGTGAAGCCAGCCTCAAGACTAGGACTACTAAAGAGGACAGAAGAATGACAGAAAAAAAAAAAAATAGAGAAAATTAAAATAAATGAAATAAACAAATAGACTTTTCTAAAGCCTTTTTAAGGCTTTTCTAAAGCCCTCAGAGGCAGGGGCCAGGGTTTGGTCCTCTCCTGCTACTGAGCGGGCCGGATGCTCAAGGCCCCTCAGCCAGAGGGGGATACACGAGCCCCCGCCGGCTGCCGGTGGTGCCGGTGGTACCGGGGGTGCCGAGGGTGTCCCGGCGGGCGGGCGGTACCTGCTTGATGCGCTGCTTCAGCCGGGGATCGGAGACGCGGCCAGGCCGGCACCGCATGGCCGCCACCCCGCCTGAGAGGGAACTCCATTTCCCAGCGTGCCGCGCTGCGCGGGCCCGCCCGGGCGGGGCGGTGCCTACG